TCTCTCTGCGGTGGCCAGCACAGATGCTTGTGGGCAGGGAAACCCGCAGTCTGCAGAAACTGCGACCACACAATGACCGCCAAAGAAAGGAGGTCCTGGGGTTCTATACCAGAGCAATGCCGGGAGTGCGCTCCTCCAGCCGTGCGGGGAGGGCTGTGCCGGTGGCCCAGGACTCCTGACTCCGGCACTGATCGCCATGGCGAGCACATTCGGGAACTCTGTTCTGCTGGGGAGATCCCTTCTCACCAATGACCAAGGATCCTCCTTGACCGTGTCAGTGTGGTCTGAGTGACCATGTCACTTCCCTGCTATTTCAGACAATGCAGACAACTAGGGCTCCCCTGCCCGGTGTCCGTGCACGGGTGTGAGCAGACAGACGACGGGCAGGGGGAATGCTTACCACAGTGCTCTCAGTGTCTCTGTGGGAAACGCTACCAGTAACATCGATCGGGACACCCACAATTTAAGTGCATGGACAAGAAGCAAATAGGGTTCTGAGAAAAAGCTGAGACTAAAAAGCAGAGTTTAGAAATGCTGCCAACTAATCTTTTTTTTGGCATTTTGGGTTGGCAATGCTAATCACCGTCCCATGTATCGCACCAGCTTTGTTTTCATGGCATGGTCTGTCCTCGTCCACCAACGCAGCCTGAGACTAAAAGAAAAATAAGCACGGACTGCCCTGCCTCTTCGTGAGGCCACCCTAGTGTCCTCCGTCCTCCCCACCAGTGTGACTTTTTCTTTAAACAAAATCCCAAACCTCTTCCATGTGATGATGATTAGCTGAAAGTGTTAAGGATGAAGCTTAATTCTGTACCACTCTATTTTCCAATATGTTCCTTACTTTGACAGCAAAAAGACAATGTTTTAGTAGGGAAGACAGAGGACTCCCTAACCCACCGACTCTCACCTGCCCCTGGGACAGGACAAGGACTTCATTACGGGCAGGCAGTTGTAAACAGAGAGCACTGTCTCCCGTCCCCAAATTGCAGTTTGTTGAGTACAGGTCAGTGTCAGGTCAAGCCCATTTAGTTAAAATAGGTGAAGGCAGGGATGATGAAGGGCTTCCAGAAAGGGCTCTGCCCACACAGACAACACGCCATGCCCCAGGTGAGGTAAAATCCCCACACACGGATCGCCCGACGCGCCACACAGACTGCAAGGGAGGCACAGCCGGTGAGCCCACGTCTCTCCGACTAGACTAATGTCCGATTTTAAACGCTGCTTCGGTGTGCGTTTGTAGTTTTCAACAAACACAAAGAGCACTTGGCAGGTTATTTTTAGGGGAGGTAGAATAAAAATACAGCCTGTCTCTCCACATCCATGCCTCACCAAATCTGTGTTTCACACATTTTACAACTTCCTAATAAACTTTCTGCTGGCATTCAAAAATACTTAATACTACACGGAACATTAAAAAAAATGTACCTATGCAAAGGTGAGCATGTGCAAGGCCCTCGTATTTGAATGGAAATCGGACCACTGTGAAAAGAGCAGTTAGGGTCTGTAATGCTCGTGGCTCCCTGAAGCCATGGCCCGAAGGGGGTAACTCATTGCAAGACCACAGAGGACATGGAGATAAACCAGGCAAAAAACCCAAAACTGCTTTAATGTTCTCACTATTAAAGCGAAACAGGATGCAGATAATGACTAGTGTTCTTTCTCTTTAGAACGCTTTTCCACCCACTGCTGGGGAGCAACACGACAAAAGCAGCCAGCATGGACAAAGTGATTAGCATTTAAGGCCGAGACTTCTGGCATACCGAGCAAGTAAATGCCTCAGGTATGGTCACTTTGATAAGAAGGCTAAGATTCAAATGTAGCCGCCTGTCCCAAAAGCCTACCTATGACCACACACATCTTCCCTTTAGGAGAAGCTGCTAGCCAGCTCAGCTGGGTAGCAGAGTGTTAGAAGAGTCAAGATGATGATTTTTTCTTTTCTTTTCTTTCTTTTTTTTTTTTTTTTTAAGATTTTACTCATTTATTTGACACACACACACACACACACACACAGAGATCACAAGTAGGCAGAGAGGCAGGCAGAGAGAGAGGGGGAAGCAGGCTCCCTGCTGAGCAGGGAGCCCGATGTGGGGCTCGATCCCAGGACCCTGAGATCATGAGCTGAGCCGAGGGCAGAGGCTTAACCCACTGAGCCGCCCAGGAGCCCTGATGATATTCTTTTTAAGGTAAACTTAATTGTGGACTAGAAAAGCTGCAAAGATGGTACGCACAGTTCTAATGTCCCCCCTCACCCAGTTTCACCCATGGTGACACCTGTCACAGCCCGGTACGTGCAGCCACAGCTAAGAAACCAACACTGGCTACTTATTAGGGACCGCGCTTACTTTCTCATTAGTGTCGCTCTCCCTTTCAGGACCCAGCCCAGGACAGCGTGTCGTATTTAACTGTGACCACACTGTGGAATTGTACTGCTTAAGCAGCCTCCCTAAGCGTGCAGCGTCGGGCCTCAGGCTCTTCTCTGAGCCGCAGGCATCCGCCCCTGGCCCAGCCTTTCGTGCAGAAGGTCCGGGAACAATGTGAAGTAATGTAGTAAACACCATTAGAGAGCTGGTCCATTATGCTGCTTTGTTACAAAAGTCCTACGCTCACTGCTCAGTGGGGACCGGGTTTCCTTCCGGGGTGATGAAAAGGTTTAGAACTAGATGAGGTAATGTTCCACAGCACTATGAAAGTCATGGAATTGGGTTAATTTTGTGTTATGTGAATTTCCCCTCAATTAACAAAAAAAGTTCTATGCTTTCTCTCTAAGTTATCCAGCGTCCCCTGGACATAACTAATACTCGAGTGGAAAGAATTTGGGCTCAGCTTTCAAAATTATGTCCCATCTCCGCACCAACTCCTTCAGCGGACTTGAGAATAAAATCTGAATTCTGTCTCCAGACCCAGAGGCCCACCCCTGGCTCTGCTTCCGTCCCCCGCAGCGTTCCCTCCCGGCCCACTGTGCGCTGCCATCGCACGGGCTTCCAACAGCTCTTAGAACACGCTCCTCAACATGGGCCTGGTGAGCTGCGGCTGCCACTGCCTGGGGATCTCCTCTCGCGGCCTTTCAAGTGACCGGTGCCCTCTCAGGAGCGGCCCATCTTAGTTTAGGTCTTGCCCCGTAGAGGCCTCCTGTGGCTGCCCCAACGTGAGTGGCCCCTCCTGCTATTCTTGACTGCAGTCCCCTGGGGAACGCCCTGGAGTTACCCTCCTTCCTTCTCGTGCCTCTCTGTCTGGTTTTCCCTCGAATTCTAGCACCCAGCAGAACGCCTGGCTCATGGCAAAGGGGCCCAGTAAGTCATGACGGGGAGCTGGATGGGGCCCGGAATGAAATCACAAGCACCTCCACCATGCGTGCCACTGGACAGAAGCGGAGAAAGGATGGAGGAGAGCAGACAGAGGCAGCCGGTGCCCTCCAGGGGAGCTGGCCTGGGTGCTATGGGCGGGGGGATAGCAACTCTTGTAAGCCCCAGGTGCCGAGCTGCTCCAGGGAAGGGCCCCTTCTACCATCAGAAGCCGGGAAAGGGTTTTCTCTAGTCCCGTTTCTTTGACATCTCCCAAATAGCATTTCACGGGGAATCCTGACATCAGAAAAAGAGGTGACCAGACTGTCAAGCGGGGGTGGGAGGGGGGTGAGGATGGGGCCAGCCCACCCCCACTCAGCCCATATTAGGCACCCGCGTAGACCACAGGGCTCTGAAAAAACTGAGCTTAAAAACTGGCTGAGCTTGGAACAACTCAAAAGCCTCTGCTTTTTGTTTTTGTTTAAGCTATGATTTCCATACAGTAAAAGTCACCCTTTGTAGGTGTGAGGTAACAGAAAAGAAATACATACACTGTTTGATCTCTGCCCCTGGTACCTGGAATAGAGCTCCTGAAATCCTTATAATTTCCTAAGTGATAAGAGCATTGGGGCATATCCTGTTCTAACGAGGTGACTCTGGGTGGGCCCCTGGGTGGGGTCTGGTCACCAGAAAGGCCAAGCCATGATTTGGGTAATAAGAGACTTAGAATTTTCTGTCTCGCTCCGCCTTCTCCAGAGAAAGGGAGTGGGGCTGGAAACCGAGTTCATGATCGATTATGTCTACATGAGGGAGTCTCCGTAAAATGCCAGCAGTAGGGGGTTTAGAGCTGCCAGACTAGACAATGCAACGCCAGAAGACTGATGCACCCCAACTCCATGGGGACCAAGACTCCTGGGCTTGAGGCCTTCCCAGAGCTTCCTCTGTGTGTCCCTCCACCTGGCTGTTCATCTGTACCCTTTATCATGTGCTTTCATAAGCTAGGAAACCTCAGCGAGCATCTCCCTGGGTTCTGTGAGCTGCTCTGGCAGACTGACAGGGCCTGAAGAGTGGGCATGGGAACCTCCGATCTACCACCAGTGGGGCGGAAACACAGGTCACTGAACTTGTGACTGAGGTCTGTAGCTCTGGGGCGATCGTGTCAGGCCAAGCTGAACTGGAGGACACCCAGCTGGTGTCCTGTTTCCGTAGGGACAATCCATGGGGGACAAAGCTCCACATGTTCGGTGACCAGGAGGGGCAGAAGTGAAGTGTTTCATGTGCACAGTAATGGGGATTCACTGGAGACAAACACAAGAGGGAAGAACTGGGGTCTTCCCGATATAGGAAGGAAAGCACAGATTTCCCTCTACAGTCGGTACATTATTAAATCCATGGCTTTGGGAACATAATACAATGTGTAATCACCACCATGATTAAGACACAGAATATTCCAATGACTCCGACACATTTCCTTTTGCCCCTTTGGCGACAATCTCCTGCCCTGACACCCAGCCCCTGGACACCACCAATCTGATTTCTGTCCCTAAGATTTTTATCTTTCCCAGAATGTCTTATCAGTGGAATCATACCGTGAGCAGCCTTTTGTGTCTGGCTTTTTCCACTTTTGAAAAAGCCTCTAACTTAAGACCAATATTTATACCTTTAAGCATTCATATTTCCCTTCCTGCTCCTGAGTAAGAAGGAAAAAGTAGAGCTTACCTTCTGGAATACTTGATAGTTGGATTTGGACCATATATCCAGCTGAGGGGAAAGACATAAGACATCATCAGCATCAATTTTAGAACTGTCAGCTTCGAGAGAGGACACTGTAACCACTCTATACCCGTCAGCTTGAACTAATAAACACAATTATGGAATAATAGGATTGTGGCATTGTATGTGCATCTTAAATGTCCTGTTTGAATTTCTTCTCTCTCAACCTGTTAGTGACTTAAGGAAGCCCACAGAGGGACATAGGGAAGTGAGCAAGAGGCGCCTGTTGCATCCAAGGCTGCATGCGGAGCCCCTGGCTCCCCTCTCTAACCTGGACTCCTACCATACTTTTCTTGCGTGGCCATGTTGACCATGCCTCAGGACCTTTGCACAGATTTCTTTTCCCCCACAAACACTCACATGGCTCCTCCTAATTTTCTTTAGTTCAAATGTCAACTTACTTGAGAGTTGTTTTCCAGTTACCCTGTCTAAAATATGATTTCCATATGTATTGCCTTCTCTTTATTGATTCAAAAATTTGAGATTTTCATTGCACTTAAAACCTCCTGGAAGTTTCTTTCTTTCTTTCTTTCTTTTAATATTTTATTTATTTATTTGACAGAGAGAGAGAGAGAGAGAGAGATCACAAGTAGGCAGAGGGGCAGGCAGAGAAAGGGGGGGAAGCAGGCTTCCTGCTGAGCAGAGAGCCCGATGCGGGGCTTGATCCCAGGACCCTGAGATCACAACCTGAGCTGAAGGCAGAGGCTTTAACCCACTGAGCCACCCAGGCACCCCTGGAAGTTTATTCCTTTTTTTTTTTTTTTTTTAAAGATTTTATTTATTTATTTGACAGACAGAGATCATAAATAGTCAGAGAGACAGGCAGAGAGAGAGGAGGAAGCAGGCTGCCTGCCAAGCAGAGAGCCCGATGCGGGGCTTGATCCCAGGACCCTGAGATCATGACCTGAGCCGAAGGCAGAGGCTTAACCCACTGAGCCACCCAGGAGCCCCTGGAAGTTTATTTCTTTCGCTTATGTTGTCCTGGTTTGAGACCTAGCATGTCACAGGGACCAGCAGGTCCATGCTGAGTGGAGGAAAACCGGCTCCCAGCTGCTGAGCACCTGCTCCACCCCAGTCACCACACTGGGCCCTTTACCTGCACTTGCTCATTTAATCCCCAGAACAAGCCAGTGCGGCTGGTCCCACTAGCAACCTTCCTTTCCAGAGGAAGAGCCATTCAATCGTCCCTGGCAATCGGGAGGGGCTTCTTCCGGACGGTCTCCCCTGAGGGCGCTCAAACCTGGCTGGCATCAGAAGCTGCTGGGGGAATTTTTTTGTTTTTTGATATACAGATTCCTTGGTTCCTCCCCTAGAGTGTCGGAATTAGTAGGCTTACAGTGGGCCTGAGAATCTGTTCATCTGTCTGTCTGTCTGTCTGCTCCCCAAGCAGTGGTGTAACCTGATGGCTGGTCAGGCCAGGAACCCTTGATCGAGGGCACCCCTCCTTCACAAGTGAGGAAACTGGAGGTCGCGGTTAGGGCTCGGAGTCAACCCGGTCCATCCTCCTCGGGCTACACTGGGTCTTGCACAGAGCATGTCAGTGGCTTACTTTAACCAAAAGGATTTTTGTTTTATAGTTTCGTATGATAAATCAAGTCAATACCTGATTTATTATTTATTATTATTTATTTATTATTGAGTTTGAAACAAACTCATTGTTTCATGAGTTTATACTAATAAATTAAGTAGAACAAAAGCAGAATTGCCCCAGTACAGTGCTGGGAGAGAGCTCAAGGACAGTGCAGATTGGAAGAGTCAGTATGTCCCATGGGTGCCAGAAAGTCAATTGTAACATGTGAGTTCCAGAGCTGAACAGAATGGGCCTCTTGGAACCTGCCTTTGGGGTAGGCCAGGGGTCACGGTGGAAACCTGAGACATGGCTGTATGGCCCGTAGGTTGAGTCACTGACTGTGGAGCGCCTGGACACCTGAACAGCAATCTCACGGGAAGATTCCTCTTAGACAGGAAGAAAAGTGTTGCACTTGACATGGGGCAGTTCACAGTTCTGTTTTTGTTCTGAGGAAAACACCAAAATCTGGTTTCCTGAAGATGGTCCTCGGAACTGAGAGGTGGTCTGCGCACAGGAGCCCACTCAGTCCTCCCTGGCTTCCTCCTGTTCAGAATGAGTTGCACATACGCTGCGCCGTGTCTGAGAACTTTCAGGCCACAGAAGAGGTTGAGAGGATTCTGAGAGGGTTTCCCTGGGTCCCTGCGGGGCTCCTGCTGGAGAGGGCCAGTGTTAGCTGGTCCACGCCCAGGAAAAGGACCAGAAGAACTTGGCCCGAACACTCAAACGGGCCGCCTCTCCCTAACTCCCTGGATTTCCAGCGAAGCCCCCAGCTGACCTCTCTCCTTCAACCCTGGCGCAGCTGCTCTTCAGAAAGGTGGTATCAATTTTCAGTCACTGCACCACCCCCCAAGCCAGTTGATTAAAAAAAAAATCTTTAGGCACTAGAATTTTAATTTGGCAGGCTAGCAATTTGTAGAGGGAAAAGTGACCTGTTACTTCAGATAACTTTGAAGGAAACCTCAAAAAAAGACAAATGGAATGAACCCCACACTGTCAGTTCTGCTGAAGAAAACTGCCGGCCAGCATCCTAGGGAGGAGAAGGCCGCTTCCTACGGGCTCTCCGTGCCGCAGCGGAGCCCAGGGCTTACAAAATGCAGCACTTAAAGATTATTCAGAGAGTGCAGAATGAATAAGAATGATTTTTCCTATCTCTCAGTTCTGCCGAATCACTGCCAGGATGACAGGGAGATGCCCAAGAGTCTAGATTTTAGGGAGAGTGTAACATCAGTGTCTCAACTTGGAACGAACGCAGCTCCCCTTCCATTCGAAGCCTACAGCTGTTTCTTCGGAGCTTCTCCGCTGTTTATCCTTCCTGCCTGTTCCCACCCTGCGTAGGCAGACCAAGACATAAACGTGGGGCTATGGAAAACGAGAAAAGGAAGAAGCGGCACATAAACCAAAAAGTTATAGCTTTTATTTAAAAGAGGAAATTATTAAAACAACAACAAAAAAACCCCACCCCAACTCTTCAGTATCTGCAGAATGTTTTAATAGAGAAATCATCTAGGGAGAAATGCGCCCAAGTTTAATTAAGAGATGCACTCTCCAGCCTAATTGCAGCTTCTCAAACACACCACGCTCATTCAAAGGCTGCTCTTTCTGAAAGGCGGTTTAAATATATAATTCAGGGCCCTAGGGAAGAGCGGCAGCCGTCTGGGATGGAAGGATGTCAGACAACACACCCCACGTACCAGGTGCGCACGGTAAGAAAGGGAGCCGGGAACAATGGGTCCCCCTATTGCTTCGACGGCACAGCAGGCAGTTTGGATTTCATTTTCTCCTAGATTTATGCCAAAGAAAGCCATCTAAGTGAGCGTTCTGGAGTCAGTGCCCTGCCTCTCCTCAGGGCCAAGAAGATTTCAGAAATTCATTTCAGGGAGCCCGGACTGACCCAAGTGAATATTTATCAGCATTAGCCTATGGACCGCAAAGGCGGGCATGGCTACCAATTTTGTTGCTGGCTGTGATATTCAAAAAGGAACATTCTGGAAGCTGTAAACTTTCAGCTGGGCGAACGGGAAATTATTCTGAACTATAATATCAGGGAAAGAAAGTAAAGCACCTCTCAGTATTCTGGGCAAGAATTAGAAAGATCTTAAAATGGAAAAGCCTTATGGTAATTGGTGGCTGAATCTGAAGTCTTAGGAGTGGCCTCTGGGACCCTGGGGACTGGAATGAGTATTTTAGGGGTAGGAATGTGCTCTATTCTTGGGTAAAATGGAAACAAACCCCACAGATGACCAACCACTCCAGCACAGACACATCTGCTCTCAGGTTAAACATCAAGACGTCAAAAGCCCTCTCGACTAATAAGAATGGTGACGATCAAACTGACTTATCAAAAAGAAAAATCAGAATGGCCCAGGATCAGATGGCACGCCAGCTATGACAATGACCCCTGCCATCAGCATGGCTGCACACCCAGTGAGGGCAGACATCATTCACTGAGGACCATGCATGCGTCCTGTACTACACCTGCGTTTCCTTCCTTCCTCCCTCACTCCCTCCCTCTCGTTCTAAGATTTTATTTATTTGGGGGAGGGCAGAGGGAGAGAGACAAGCAGACTCCCCTCCGAGCACGGAGCCCAAGCATACAGGGCTGCGTTACTTCCGAAATCCTCCCAGAGATCTGGACGGGGATGATGAAACTACCCCACCTCCCACAAGAGGACACCAAGGCTCAGAGAAGTTAAGTAACCTGTCTAACATCACACAAGTACGGGGAAGAAAATTCAAAAACCAGCTCTGTCTCCAGAGGCCCAGCTCTCAACCTGGGAGGAAGACCGCCTCGGAGCTAGAATTCAGGACAGCTGACTCAAGCCCCACCCCCAAGCGGTGGCAGCTGCTGCGGGGGTGGCACTCTTGCAGAAGTTCCACATGACAAATGTGCTTCAAGGCCTGCTCATGTGACAATCACCGCCACTGAAATTGGCTTAGCAGCCAGTGGAAATTCTGGCAGCTTCTCAGAAAGTTACCAATTCTTCATTCCAAAAAATAGTACAAGGTACCATAAATGATCTAAAATTGACAATTCCAAATAAAACTCTTAAGCCTCACCAAGGCCTTCAACTTCTGAAGCTTTTATTTATGAACACTGTGAGGTCAACAGGTGGTGCGTCAGTGGGGCAGAGGGCCGTAAACCAGCAATGGTCAGGCGTCTCTCCATGATTACGCAAAAGTTTTCAAAACCGTAAACTTCTACCCAGTCGCCTTCTTACTGTGCCCAGTCCTCCCTGGCAAATCAGGAAGAGAGCAAGTCTCACCCCAGAGATGGTGCTATGGGTCTGCTGGTCTTCAACTTTCCACCTGCGATCAGGGCACACATTTGTTACTAGCAAGTGCTGAAGGCACAAGTCTGGGCACTGTCCGCATGTGAATTAAACAGGAGGCCCCTTCCCCAGCTTTCCCCCCTTCCCCCATAAGTAACAAGAGGCCGTTTTTCTGAAGGTCGTCTGAACAATTTCAAAGGCTGTAACAAATCAAAATGTTCCCTGCGTCTAATATCAAACGGAGCCGATGCCAACACTTATTAGAGAAATCAGATTCAGGCTTCCCCAACCCCTCGACCCACACGCACACACACATCCAACTTTGAAGTGGGAAGAATGCGGGATCAGAAATTACCCTGGAGACAGCTCTGGCTGTCTTTGAAGGTTCCCTTTGATACCACTATTTCTTTCCTCTCTTTCGCTAGGAGGCTAAAAGCTGCCTTTTTTTTATTGATATGGGGTAATTAATGAAGCTATAGCATTAACATAACCTAAATCCCCTAATAAGATAAATTCAACCGAGACACACATTTTTTTCACTTAAGTCTGGCGGGTATAAAGTCAGGACAATGGCCAGGTATTTCAACTTAAATCTGCCTTTTAACATGCTGAGTCATGGCTCTCTGTGCCTTCCTGGTTACAGTGAATAGCAGGTTGGTAAGTTTTAAAAAAACATTTTTATATTTTATTAGAGGATTTACCCTACTAGAGCTTGGTCTCAAAAATATGCATCCCAGGTAAAGAGGCAGACGATGAGGGCGGCAGCAGGGGTTACTGCAAAGTGCAGAGCGACAGCCTTGCTGGCATTCTGATGGGGAAAAATCCTGCCAGTTCTGGAAAGCTGGGGCTCGGGGGTGGCGGGGGCACCGGGCCACTATTGCAGCAACAGGGATAATTAAACCTTTCAGGAGGTGCTGGTTGCTTTGGGTTTGGGGGACACAGAATCCAGCAGTCATAGAAGTTCAGAACCCAGCATGTCCGGCTTTCCAAGCCACGCCCACGGCATCCGGCTTGCACAGCTGAGCGCTCAGACTGCGGCGACCCCCCCCCCCCCGCCAAGCGCTCAGGCACCAACTCAGCAAAGGCGGACAGAACTGCAAGCAGTGGACAGAACTGCAAGCAGCAATCTGGTCTCGAGGACCACACCCCACGCTCTAGGGGCTGCTTCCAAAGGTTGCACTTTGTTCGGGATGGGCTAGACATTTCAGCATGTTAATTACACCAAGGCTTACATGTAAGTTCACATACACCAGCATCAGCACTCAAAATAGAACACTAATAACGTCGGCATGGTCTTGTCAAGTGCTCTGAAAAAAGAAGGGGCTAATCAAATTGGCTAGGATTTGATTCTGGGCAGAGGGGTCATTCTGACAGCTCCTCTGCCAAACGCGGTTAGTGTGCCTTTCCAACAACAAGCGCCCTGGCCCTCTCAATCTTGCTATTCCCCATTTTAGGGTCCCTGCTGACTACTTGGGCCAATGTGTGCAGCTGTGAAATGCAGCAACAGGCCTCCTGTATCACATTTGTGATATGAGTCAGAGCCGAATTCAGGTTCCCAGACACATACTCATTTTCTTTCGGAGGAACACAGAACCCACACTAATCTCTCATTAAGAAGACGCACACTGCGTGCACATGCGCGTGTCTCCTTCATTTTCCGCACTATGACTCCACTCCCGGCTGCTGCTTTCAGTCCTTGTCTCTGATGTTCAGTTCCCCACCCTTCCACTCCAGCTAAAGCACTGGCACATCCCAAGCAGGCTTCTCCACTGTCCCCTCCCACACAGCCCAGGGCTTCTCCAGCACTCCAGGCACTGCACCATCTCCCTGGGACAGCATCACGGGACAGGGTCTTGGCCCTTGAGGTGCTCCCAGCAGATGGAGCTCTGAGGCCTGGCGGGTGTGACTGCAAGTATGTACAGGCAAGTCCCTGTACATTCGAGGTCTCGGCGGCCCTTTCTGGAGAACGAGACTAATTTAAGCAGAACCTAGGACTCAATGACCACTGTGGGCAAAGTTTGCTTAGCATGATGCCCACTAGGACAACATACGGAGTACTTGGTGTTTCTATTAATTGCAAGAGAAACATGTCAACAAATAACCATGATGTACTGATTCTAGTCCTAGAAAAAGACTGTTCAAAATTCCATGATGTATTTATGAGGAGGCTCTAGAGTCTGGGCTCATGTAAGAGACCCTGGGAAATGGGGACAGGATGAGAAAGAGGACAGCAGTAAGTCAGGGTGAAGGGAAGATTGAGTGTGTCAGGTGGGCAAGAGCACAAAGCATCCCAGGCTGAGGGCACTGAGGATGCTGAGGGCACTGAGGGCACTGAGAGTGAGTGAGAGAGTTGTGGGAGCCACAAACAGCACAAAAGGCTGGACAGTGAGACAAAACATGCGCAGAGAATGACGGCAGCTGAGGTCAGTGAGGAAGGCAGGGGTCAGATCACCTGGCATTTCTATGTGTTGCTGAAGAGTCTGGATTTTATTCTAGAAGCTAGGGTTTTCAGAAGCATGTTCCGTAAAATGCCAGTGTCACAATATACTGAGAAGAAAGGAAGAAACAATGAATTTGGGGTTCAAATAAGTTAGGAAAATACCCCATACTATATGCACCTCTTAGGAGATTCATAGGACACTAAGCAAACTGAAGTTTCCAAGAATTTCTTTAGTAAAGAAACCTACTGAACATTCTCGAACCCCATGTTTCTTAGACATTTTGACCATGGACTGCTTTGTGTCTAAGACCTATTCATATTCTACTTTCCTGCCTGCTTTGGGCAACAGGGGATGGTGCGAGCAAGAAATCATACGCTTGGATGTGTATTTTGGGTAGACTGCTCTGGAAGCCCAGTAAAGGACAGACCGTGGGAGGGAAGGAAGACTGGAGACGAGGCATGAGGTGGCCAGTGCACTTGCTCCACTGAGAAATAAGAACTAGAAGAAGGGGAGACGGACAGGAGGAGCCCAATTTGGGAGAGATTTAAGCAGGGGAACACCAGAACCTGCTGATGGACTAGATTTGGGGGAGGGGAAGGATGGCTTGAGTGATGAGGTGGTGGTACAGTTACCCCAGATGAGGAACAGCAGGGGGAACCCGAGTTTTGGGAAGAAAGAGGTGAGCAGAGTTTTGGGCGGGCTGAACGTGAGGTGCGCCTGGGGAGGAGAGGTCCCGCCTAGACACAGGTTGGGAGTGGTCCCCGCAGGCTGACACAGGAAACCACAGTATGGGGCGGGGGTGGGGGGATGGTCAGAAGCACCTGAGGGGAAGTTACCCGAGAGAAATCCTAGAAGCATACATAGGTGACAATTTTCTAAATCCCTTGTTTTAAGCGCACAATAAAAATGGTATTCGTGATTTACTGAGTGGTGACTAGGTGGCAGCGGGGTGACTGGTGGCAGAGTGCTCAGTGCTTTGCTTTACAGGGCTTAGCGAGGACACTTCTGGTGCAGAGAAACATTCAGTGTGAAAGAGATCGGCCCAGTAGGTAAACCTCACTCCTTGGACTCTAACTTCAGAGAACGCTTCCTCCCTCTCCCGAGTTCGCGCCACTCCTGGTGGCTTCCTGTGTTTCGAGCCCTCCCTCCCCGGTGTGCTTCCAAGTCCCTGGAGGGCAAGGACCCTGACTCATACTGGGTGTGACTAAGAAGTTGTGAACCTCCAACAAAAAGGCGACAAAAACCACATCTCTAATCGGCTGGGACCAGGGTCGCGGGGCTCCTGGCCGGGGTGGCTTCTGCGGCTGCCCTCTAGTTGGGAACAGCTCGCGAGCGCTGCCGCTGGGGATCACGCATCACACGCGCAGACCGCGCCTCGCCCAGGGACGCGCCTACTCGGCACACGTGTGCTGAAGACACTCCGGTGCTTTCCCCAAAGGAAAAGGGCACTGAACGCTTTGTGTTCAGTGGGGGGAGCTACGAGAACTTGGCCGGGTCCTTGAAGTAAGAGTAGCTTCCCTTGTTGACAACACTTGTGCGGGCTGTGGAGACGCGGGGTCACTTGCTCCAAACACAAACCTCATCGCTTTGCGGGTCCCAGCTCTCAGCGCAGGCACCGTTACGGGCTAAGCTACACTGGTGACCTTTTTTTGAAGAGCGTTCTACCCTCGTTACAACGTGGCACTGGGTGGTGAGTGCTAGTACCACCGCAAACTTTAAGAATCGGAATGGGCGGGGCGCCAGGGTGGCTCAGTGGGTTAAAGCCTCTGCCTTCGGCTTGGGTCATGATCCCAGAGTCCTGGGATCGAGTCCCGCATGGGGCTCCCTGCTTGGCGGGGAGCCTGCTTCTCTTTCTCTCTCTGCATGCGTCTCTGCCTACTTGTGATCTCTGTTTGTCAAATAAATAAATAAAATCTTTAAAAAGAATCGGAACAGGCTCCATGAAGAGAAGGGAAAGCGCAGGAGAGAGGGTCAGACAGAGGCTCAGCGCGGGGAGCGGCCGGGGAGCACCCGGCTGGGGGTCACAGGCGGAGCCCTCGCCAGGCTCCGGACGCCAACACAAACGAAGGCTGTCAGCTCCCATTAGCACCCCCGAGGCTCCCCGGAGAGCCATACGGCCAGTGTGCAGTCAAGAGAAATCAGGGGTTCGCATGGGTGAACTTTCCACGAGACAAACCACCCAAACAGCTGCAGTGTTCAGTGTGAACCTCGGAGGACAAGCCGCCTCCTCAGGGCTCCTTGTTAGTTCCACGGGAAAAGATCCCGAGCAAGTTTTAAGTCAAAGTAGCTCGAATTTTCCTCATCGTTCCAGGAAAAGCAAAATGCTGAAAATGCCAAACCCTGGGCTATTGATGTGCTGCGCTACTGGGGTGGGGGTGGGGTGGGGAGAAAGAAAGAAAGAAATCCATTTCCTCAGAAGACACATTTAATGAGGCAACTGGGGTCTAAGGTGATAAATTAGAAATTCAACTAAGGGCATCAGGCTTAAAGGGAAAAGCAGAAGCTTGATGAAAAATGCAAGGGGAGAGAGAGAGAAATGTTTTTCTGTAAAACGTTCATCTTCATACTGAGAAACCATGCTTGTGGACCATTTCAGCTATGACTGCTGGTGTTTAATGTCATTCATCTGGGACTCGACTACGTTTGTTCTGGGACACAGAAAAAGAACGGAAAACGAAACAAAAGATTCCAGAATGCTTACCTTGCCGTCTTCTGTGTAGACATTCTCACTATATCCCCTTACTATTGTTCGATCAATGAACAGACTCCGCATGACGACGATCACTTTCAACACCTTTCCCAAGGTCACCTGTCAAAACACATGCATGCAAACATGAAAGCTTACACTCAAACATGCAAATGCATGAGCTGGGCAAGACTCTGTGAAGAAGAAAGGCTCACCTCTCCCTCTCGTTGCTGACGGACGCAGGGGAGGGCCCTCGAGGGAGGGCATCCCAGAGCGTTCGGGAACGAGCTCCGAGCAACGCGGCCCTCTTGCAGGCTAACTACACTGAGTGTACGTGAATTTTTGGCTTATAAATCTCGGGATAAGTTCCATATGTTTAATACCTGCTGGACAAAGTAAAATTTCTTTTTTTTTCTGTCTTAAGATGATCTTTTTCAAAGGCTATCCTAGAATTCTGGCATCCTAGGATTTGGTAAGCACATTTGTTTTCCTATGATTTCATGGCCCTATGTACACCCTTGGAATGCGCAGAAGAACAGAGTGGAGAGATTAAAGGCAGGCGCCAGATGCCCACGCAGCTCAACTGTCCATCTATAATAGCCCAGAGTAAGTGCAGAAGCGATTCTAGTAAGTTCTGAAGGTAAAAGGAAAGTAGCTGGATTTTCTCTCTAAAAAGGAACATGATCCTGGAAATACATTAAGTGCTTTTACTCTCTCAGAACCTAAGCATGTATTATGGATAAAACAAAACAAAACAAAACCCGCACACCTAAACAAAAGTGTAGTTTCATACAATGCCAGGGAAAAAGTAACCTGCTGTGCTTGCTGGAATGGGGTCAGCACCAAGAATAGAAACAGCACCTTCCTTTCTCTGGGGGCTCATGTAACTTTTCTGATGCTTTACTGTACTTCTTCTGTTCGTTCCCTAGATGAGATCCTGGAGGCAGACTGGGAACAGGACCCACGCAGGGCCCACGGTCTAGCTTGTCTGACGGGGCTCCCACATCACAGAATAGGCTGAAAAGGGCCCCCACCCCAAGCCTACTCCTCTGACCAATAGATATACTCCGCTATTACTGATGCCACTTTCAAGCACCCGCTCTTTACTTCCCTGTTCTCTGCTGTCCGACTGTCCCCAGCAACAACCCTCCTCTTTCCTTGATGAGTCCTGGGCATCAGCAAACGTTCCCAGTAACTGGTTCCTTCAATAACTTCTAAGTGCTGAGAGGATCTCTCTGTTTTTGTATGCCTAAAATGGTCCAGAATTATAAACAGCGTTAAGAAAAAGAGAGGATACCCTTATTTACATTCAAGAGAATGTTAATAATAACATCTCATTTCTGGATAGTACTTCCAAATACTGCCACACCGTGTAACATGTAATGCGGCGTCTCTTGAAGAACTGGAAATCACTAGATAAGGATGTCAGTAAACCCCCAAGGTAGGAGCCCCAACTCTCTCTAGTTCACATGGAGGCTACACAGAGGAAGGGAGAGAGGGAGGAAAAGAATCAAGTTCACAGGTTTGTGATTCTGAGCACCGAAACCAAGAGCCTCTCACTGGGTTGCAGTGGAGGTGCAACACACCGTCTCCAACAGGGCCGCCATTTTCAACTGCCTATTTTAATGCTCTTTGCCGATTAGCAGAGATAACTAAGCTATTATTTCTTTAAAAAACCAAAGTCTTGGGGCTCAGTGGGTAAAGCCTCTGCCTTCGGTTCAGGTCATGATCTCAGGGTCCTGGGATAGAGCCCCACATCGGGCTCTCTGCTCTGCAGGGAGCCTGCTTCCCCCTCTCTCTGCCTGCCTCTCTGCCTACTTGTGATCTCTGTCTCTCTGTCAAGTAAATAAATAAATAAGCAAATCTTAAAAAAAAAAAAAAACCACCCTGAAACTAATTTCAAATCAAATTTTTATTTAAAGATACGATGTATGCATTGTTCTTTACTGCTGTGCAGTCTTCAAAAACGGCAGTCTGTGCTGTTGGTACTCTACTGACAGCATCCATTTACAATTCTTTAACCATTCTCCTATTGCTGGACATGAGTTGCTTCCAAGTTTTCCCCAATATAAATATGCCTACAATGTGCACTTTTGTTCACCAAGCTTTTGCTGTGTTTGGGATTATTTCCTGGAGACAGCTTTGTACAACTGTAATTACTAGGGCCAAGAGTACAAATATTTAAAGTCTTCTGATGCAATCTGCCAACATGAGCCGTAAGGGTTATTTATGCCAGCTACGAAGGTACAAACATACCTACTTCAGTCCTCTCTTGTCAATAGCAGGTACCATTAAACCAAAAGAAAACAAAGTCAAAGCCATCCCCTCCTGGAAGGAGCAATTTAGTTATTTCTTGAACCCATTTATTTATCTAAAAAATGTTAACAAAGATTTATTTATGTAGAGAGACACAGTGTGTGCGTGTGAGTTGGGGGAGCAGAGGGAGAGAATCTGCAAGCAGACTCTCCCCTGAGCGTGGAGCCTGGCATCCCTGAGATCATGACTCGAGCAGAAATCAAGAGTCGGATGCTTAACTGACTGAGCCACCCAGGCGCCCCGAATCCATTTATTATGAAGTACTTAAACACATATACAAAGTAAGAAAAGCAGAAGAAAGAACCTCCACAGACCCTGCCCCCAAACTCCACCAACCACAGCTCTCGGCAAATCCTGTTTCCTCCACCCCACCTACTTTTCCTTTCCTGTATTACGTCAAAACAAGAAACAGCCATAGTATCATCGTTTCATCTGTAAACATACCCTTCTGTGTCTCTAAAAGGACTCTCAAAACAAAAAAAATGCAAGACTACCATGCCATCCCACACCTCAATCAACAATTCTTTTTCAGTATTACCAAAACTGAAGTGGTCAGGGTTCAAATTTCCAATAGTTTCGTAAATGCCACTTTTAAAAAAGTCTGCTTGTGCCAGGATCCAAATATAGCCCGCACAATGTGATTGGCTGACATGTCTCAAGAGGCTCTCCTAAACTAAAGGTTCCCCATCTCTACTCCCACCCCTTATTTTGCTGGTTGAAGAAACTGGGTCATTGTTTTCTACAGCATTTCCCGCAGTCTGGATTTCGCTGACGGCATCCCCACGGTGTACTTTACACGTTCCTCCTTACTGTGTACTTCCTGCAAATTGGCATGAGAGGGGATTCAGGCTTGATTTCTTTTGGCACGGCGAGTTCACGGGAGGTGTTAGGGTCTACCAATGGGGGCCAAGCGAACTTGGGTGTCTCAGCATGTGACGCTGGCAGGGGCTGACCCTTTAATTCACCAGGGTCTCCAGCCGGCCACATACCAATGTGATCGTTCTGTCTTTGTTTACTAGCTGGGACACTTTTATAAAGAAAAACCTCCCCCATGTACTACTTGGCTACTCAGTGATCAAGTCTGTTACACAGGAAAGGCAGGATAAATGCTCCATTCTTTCCATTTACCAGCTTTCAAAACAAGGCATTGGTCCACTAGTTTCCTTCCAATGCAGACGGCTCAGTTTTCCACCCAACATTATTATAAACTCATGGATATCAACATATCTGGCGTCTTCATACCTGATGCAATCATTAGTCTTATGTTCTTACTGATGCTCACATTGCTCTGTGGCCCGTGGACATCTCCTTGGTTGAGTCCCTCTGACACACTCTAGTCTCTGTGATGGCTCCCCTGCTACCTGGTACAGGCCAGTCCAGGTTGGTCCAGTACAATTCCCGCCTGAGGTCATGAGTCAGCCATCTTCTCCACAGTCCTGGCTCTTTTCAACGGAAAATAGCATTTCAGGACCATGGCCAGGGCAAGAGGGGCAAAGAAATTTGAAGGCTTAAAATTCTTGTTTTTCATTTTATGAATATGAATTAGGTCTGTATTCTCCTTTCCACCTTCTCCCTCAGTGAGTGTCCCCACGGCTTGTGCCCCTACTGGCCTGCAGAAGTTTGTGGACAACTCCATTATCTTTCAAATCGGTAAAGCTCTATGAAGTTTGTCCATTCTTTCATCTTTTTTTTTTTTTAAAGATTTTATTTATTTATTTGACAGACAGAGATCACAAGCAGGCAGAGAGGCAGGCAGAGAGAGAGAGAGAGAGAGAGAGAGGAGGAAGCAGGCTCCCTGCTAAGCAGAGAGCCCGATGCGGGGCTCGATCCCAGGACCCTGAGATCATGACCTGAGCCGAAGGCAGAGGCTTTAACCCACTGAGCCACCCAGGTGCCCCTCTTTCATCTTTTTTTAAAAAAGATTTTATTTATTTATTTGACACACAGATAGAGCAAGCCCAAGTAGGGGGAGCAGCAGGCAGAGGCAGAGGGAGAAGCAGGTTCCTCACTGAACGGGGAGCCCCATGTGGGGCTCAATCCCAGGACCCTGGGATCATGACCTAAGCTAAAGGCAGATGCTTAATTTACTGAGCCACCCAGGTGCCCCAGGTTTGTCCAATCTTATTTTTTAGAAACTGAGAAAGGACTCTGGTGCCCATCTAGGTAGAATTTTTAGCACGCCGTAATGCCACTATGTACACAACTTTGAAGCCTGACAGCGAGAGGCTCCAGAATCAGATGCCCTTGGGAGTCAGGTCTCAGGCTGGAAAGCCTGGCCGGCCATCTACCAGCTCTGAATGCGGGCTTCCTCTCACTCAGTGAAGGTCACGACAGCTCCACCTCAGAGTGACTGTGAAGGTCAGCAAGACAATGCCCCGGGCCAGGGTGAGGAACAGGCCAGATGAGGGACAGGTTCCCAGCAGTAAGTGCTGCTCCTCTACCGAGCCAGGTCTGGATTCGGTGGAAGTGAAACCATTTGAAGCCAGTTAACAGCAAAGCTGGAACCAGTTCAGCAATCTTGCCACTGATGTTAATTGACCCTTCTGCTGTGGGACCTGGGGCTGAAAGAAAGTTGCAGGGAGAGGGTGACAGTGGTGCAGGGCCCTGAGGTCTGAACAAAAATGTGCCTTCTGACGAATGACTGCCGAGTGGGGTCTGCAAGCCTGAGAGTCGGGGCAGTTTAGGGGAAGACGTAGATGAACCTGTCTTGTGTGCTGATCTAGACATACCTTGCTGACACCCAAAAGAGGCCATTTAGCGTGTAGGTCAAGTACAATGGGCTTCAGTCCCACATCTGTCACTGGGCC